TAATTATTTCAATTAAAATTATAAAAATTTATAACATAAATATAATATATAATATAATATAATATATATTATAAATAAAAATTTAATATGTTGTATTTAAAAGTAATATAACTTTGATAAAAATAGAACACAAGAGAAAATAAGAGAGAATAGAATAAAAAATATCCAATAAAATAGGACAATTAATATCTATCTAAAGAAAAAATAAATGATGTTATAAAGATATTTTATTACAAAAAATTTATAAGTTAAATTATTTACAGAAAATTTACAAATTAAAATATGTAGCGAATAGAATGTAGAAAATATATAAATTAAATATAATGTTATCAATGATAATGTTTTGCGTTATTAAAATAGAAATGTATTTTAAGGAAAACTGAGAGTTTTCGAGATTCTATTGATGCATTGGCAAATTGCCAAATATCTAAGTACATATCTACATCAGCTAAACTTGTCGTTGTATGCGTATTTATAAATATATTTCATAAAATTGCCGAATCAACGAAAAATATTATTGATTTGTCAAATATTGAAATTTGATGTGTCGCGCATGAATATGTAATTTTTGAAAATAAAATTTGTGTGATGAGCACTAATATATATTAATATTAATATAATATATATTGATATTTAATTGTATAGAATAAAGATATTTTTATGTTTTTTCAATTTTTTTTATTTTTTAAATTTTAAATTTATAATTTTTTTGCAATTTCATATAATGAATTTATTATATTCATATATTCTTCAAAATCAAGATATCTGAAAATTTGAAAAATTTTTTAAAAATTTAGAAATGCTTTAATAAATAAATTAGAAAAGTATATAATGCTATAAAGTGAGATATATGTATTGTAAAATTTTACTAAACTAATTCTAACTTTATTATGTCTAAAATTAAAAAGAGATATAAATATGTTTAATGTATTTAAATGAAGTTTGATGAAATAAAAAAATTTATAATAGATAAATGCGCGATAGATATTCGATACATATAGAAAATGCGAAATATAAAAATTTTACATAAATTTTAAAAAACAGATAAAAAAATATAATTATATTGAAATTTAGTTGAAACATAAATGTAGAATATTCAGATTCAGGCAATACACTAGAAAAAGCAGAAGGAGAAAAAGATAAAAGAAAAGAAAAAAATAGGAGAATAAAACAATAGTAATTGTGGTATTAAGTTAAAAGTGGTAAAAGTTAAGCGGATTAAGAAGATGAGAGGAAAAGAGAAGAGAGTAAAAAAACAAAAGAGAAGTGACGAAGACAGAAAAAAAGAAGATAGAAGTCGAACAAAACTGAAATAAAACTTATATATAACGAATAGAATATGTAATAGTAACATGAATCGAAAAAAAATAATTTACTTACAAGTCAAGAATATTTATATGTAATACAATATGATTACAATACAATACAAATGGAGATAAATTTTAAGATCCAACAATGATATGTAAAAAATTCTTACTGAGGAAATCATTTTATCCATATCTCAACATGATAATAAAGGCGATATATGGCACCAATTTAAACGATATTGACAATAATATAACAAAATAATAATGAGATGTCACAAAAGTGAAGAAAATAAAATATTGAAAAAAAAGAAGAAAAAAAAGATGAAATATAATTATGAAAAAAACGATAGTAAAACAAAAATTTTTCGATAACTATTATAACAATAAGAATTTAGTCCATACTCTTTAAAATTTTAAATATAATTGGGCTTATAAATAATTATTTGCAAATAATAAAAAAAGAATATATTTGCAAACTGTTTGAAAAAAATATAAATGTTGTTATAAGGAAACTTAATCAAGGGTAAGCGTGTTCAACTAATTGCAAGTTATACTTTATAATTGCTATTAAATGTGAAAAACATAGAATTTTAAAAATAATTTTAAGAAGTATTTGTTTGTGTCGCATGAACATTTAATAATTTAATGATTTTTATTTTAATTCATTTTTACATATATTTGAAATTATCAAAAATCTTAATATATCGAAAACATATTTTTTATTTTTTATTTTTTTAATTTTAATGGAAAAAAAATTGAAATTTTTTTCTTTCATTGAAAGTTTTTCAGTAACTAACATGTTACTACTTGTGCGTGTATATATATATGTAATATATTTATCTTTTTATCTTTTAAAATGTAGATTTTTCTATTTCAATAAATCTTGTGTTACATATAGTATTTAATCATGATTACTACAATTTATTAAAAACTAATCATTGTGTAACTATATGAAAGCTATACATGAATAAGAATTACTAGTTGAAGATTATATCAAGAATATTAGTGAAAGAGTAGGTGAATTTTCGCCTATTATGTTATGAAGATTTCTATTTAAAAAGATATTTATTAATAAATGAACACGTTTTTTTCCCTTTAGGTAAAATTTATCGTGATAACTATAAGCATTATAATACTGATAATTATTAGACAATAGTATAAAGAATGATATTTCTTGTTCTCAACCGATCAATTCGGTATAATATGTACAATAACAAGGTCTAGTTTTATATTACCTTTGATAGAAGAATATGTATATAAGAATCTACGTCTTCGAACTCGACCGCAGAGGTGACCTCTGATCAATGATATCAACAATTTACCATATCGGATTCGCGACACATCAAATTTCAACTTGAATATTGTGTATGGTGTGCGCACGTGCGCATATGAGAGGGAGAGAGAGAAACGTAAGTAGTGCTTAAAGCATTCTATACCATATACATATATCTATGTATGTATAGAAGAGGAGCAACGCAAAAGATCAAAACATACGTATTCAGTTTTATTCTATACTTGAATCTAAATCTTCTTGTAAATTTGTTAGTATTTTTTAAATAAGTTATATAAAAAAAAATATTAGTCAAATTTCAAATAAATTCTCTTTTCTGTTTAATTTGGATATTTGAACAATCTACGTAGCACCTGTTTCTTTTACTTTTTGAATGCGGCAATTTCCCTCTTCACGGTCATAGTTTATCTTTTGCAATAGATGATTAAATAGACTTTACGCGCATACAATTTACGTAATGAATCAATGGGGCAGGAGTGTGCGCCCAAGTACATTCAGTTTTCGTATTTCTTAGACGACGTATGTAACTTTACGGATCTCAATTTGGTATAAAATTACGATCATATAATTCAATCAAACTTTTATCATTTCTATTTTTTTCTATTTTACATTATTTCTTTTACAAAGATTATTATTTTTATTTTTATTTTTATTTTATTTTATTTTTTTTTTTTTTCTAATAAACTTTATCATTTCTATTTTCTTTTTTTCTAGACATAATATTATAAATTTTTTTATTTTATTTAGTGTTTTAGTGAAAGTGAAATTTCTACGAGTTAATTCGAAATTAGTAGAAATTTTTAAATGAAAAATATGAATGAAGCCAAATTTTGGAATCTTCCTCCAAAACAAGCTCTTTACGATCCACTTCTTGAAAAAGATGCTTGCGGTGTCGGATTTATTGTTGCCATAGATGGAAAAAAATCACACAAGGTAAGGTAGTGAATTTATAAATTTTTATTATATTTGATTTAATATAATTAGAGTTTTATTTCTTGTTTATTTTAAATAAATAAGAAAGAAAATTGAAAGAAATGGAACAACGAATTGATTTTTGTTGAAAAGATTGTTTTATTTCTATTATTTAAATAAACATTTTTTTAATAGTGTTTAACTTAACTTTATTTAACTTAATTTAATAGATATGAATTTGTAATAAATAGAAACGAATTTGATCTTTCATTCGTATTCACACGAATTCGTATCTAGTGTAATTATTGCATATAAAATCATGGTTTCTATTTATCGTTTGCTCGAAATATGCATGCTTCTCATTTTCTTATCGTAGATTGTTCGCGATGCGGAGGTTCTTTCAGCGCGCATGAACCATCGGGGTGCCTGTGCTTGTGATAACGACACTGGTGATGGAGCCGGTGTTCTATGTGCAATTCCACATGAGTATTACGCCGATGAATTGCGGTAAGAGATAACCACGATTCATGGACTTTCTATTGCTTTATCATTCTGTGATGTATTAATAGAATATACTTGTTCAATAATGTGTGCTCGCAATTTCATAATTTATGCATGTCGATGATGAAATTGTAACTTATCTCGCTTTATGTTTATATTTTTTTATATAAATATTGCAAATTTATTTTTTTATTAATTTATCTTTATTATTTTATTAATATTAATATTATTATATATATTTATTTATTATTTTTATTGTTATTAACAAATAATATCACGAATTATATATTTATATATATAATCATATATATAAGATGATATTGTAAAATATAACTATTTCAAATAATTCATAAGTTATATAAAAAAATTTTTCATATAAAAGTTTCATGGTGCAAAAGACATAATTTGATACTTATCAATTTTATGAATATGTAGAAAACATATAAAAATCTTTGTTTTCTTATATAAAATCGTGCATTTTTAATAAATTAATTAATGCATACAATGATAATCATTTCTTATTCTTCATTGAACATAAAATTAAATTACAAAGAATATATTAATTATATTTATAATAAAAGATATAAGACGATATTTTAATTTAAATTTTGTAAAACTCATTGTGAACGAATACTTTTCTGTTCATACTTTTTTTTTTTCTTATATATCAAATATCAAATATTAAATATCAAATAATTTATGAATTATTTGAAATGATTCATCTTGTATGTATTTAATATATCTTCGTACTTAAATATATTTAAAAAATCCGAAGATAACTTAATTCTATACGGAAAAGTAAACAAATACATATTACATATTATAGTATATGTATTGTATTACAAATATTAAATTTACTGATAAGATTCATGTTAGCGTATAACAATTTTGATTTTTCATTTTAATGAGTACAAATTGTACAAATTGTTTATAAATACAAAAACTTTTCAAATTACGTATATATAATTTTTAGATCAAATTTAATTCTCAGTCTAATTTTCGAAAATTCATAATTACTATTTTTTTTTTGAAACGCGATTATTTCAGAGATCTTGACTTATATAAATTTTATTATTTTTCTCTGAAGTCTAGTTATTTCAACAATGTATGATTATTTTATGATTCTATATGTCTTGTTTTAAAAATTTCAAAACTATATGTATGTACATTATTGGTACATAGATATATTATACATCTTCTATTTTTTTCTTCATATCTTTAGCTCACTTTCCCGAGAAAAAGAGAAATAATAAATGTGTTCTGAAATAAGGATAGAACAATTGATGCCATAATGGAATTATTAAGATAAATCATTTTCTGAGAAAGATTTACAGTTATACTTCATATCATTTTTTTCAATTGATGTTTTGAAAAATTATGGCAAAACATAATTCGGTATGTATATATATGTCTATTTCCTCCTTATAAAACAAAAAATATAAAACAAAAAAAGTAATAAAATTGATAAATGAAAAAAGCATCATTATCAAAGAAGAAAAATCAGATTTCCTCATTTTTTATATGAAATATACAATTTGATAAAATCCATCGACATTAACAATTTGAAAAATAAAAAATATTAGGATTACTTGAAAAAAAAACATATATCTTTACAAGCTCTAAATCATAATGATAGATTAAGATAATATTTTATTATTCTATTCTTTTTTCGGATAGGACAATATTGTTGTTTATTTTATAACTTAGCGATTTATTGTCATCTTAAATCTTTCGTTCCGTTTTAAAATAATAAAAGTGAATAATAGATATACCTGATAAGTAACTGCCTTTTCTGACCGATTATTTATTTTCAGAACAGAATTATATTTGATCTATAATAATCAAAGGACTGATCGCTCAAAAAAAAAATGATTACAAAATTAATGTAATTTTTCAATGTTTTATGTGATTTCGAATAATATTCATTATGACATTAATTTATATTATAAAATTATATTAACTGATTTCATATTATCGAATTAAATTATTTGTTTTCTAAACAAATATTTTGTTAAAATATTACCATAATATTCATTTCATTCGATTATTCATAGTTCATTAAGAAATGATACAAAATAAAATATTTTTATATGATTTAAATAGTAAAAGATTTTTTTTTCTTCGAATATTTAATCTTGAATTTATTTATATTTGCAAATTAATGAAGAATTTTTATTAATTTATTTGATAATATTATCCCCATTTAATATTTCTCTGACTTTTTATTAAGAATTTTAATTGATTTTTTGAAAATTTGATAATTTTTGATAATTTAAAAATGACACACAAATATTCTCAATATTAATTCAATTTATGATAAATAAAAATTTAAATTTTCTTGTACACAACATTTTTTTTGTTTCTAAGAATTCACAACATTGATTTATTAAAATATAAAAAATCAATTAAATCATTAAAATATAATGTAAAAATTAAAAAGTATTGTTTTATTTATTAATGATTATTTCCAATTTAAACAAATAATTATTATATTATTATTTTATTAAAACTTCTATATGTCAACGTTTCTTATTCTGATATACATAAAAAATGATCTTTAAGACCATCACAAAATTAATAATTCCTTTAAATTTATATTATGTGATATCTTTTCATTTTTTTTGTTTAAAAGAAACATTAATGTTCCATTTATTTCATTTTAGCCAACTATTTTTTATATATATTAAATATTATCTATCTATTTACTTTTTATTCTGATATTGATATTTTAAACAAATAGATTATTTTATTTTTATTGAATATAATTTTATTTCACAAGATATATTTTTCATTTTTTATATCTCTTTTTAAGCTTGTTAATTTTCATGCGATTAACTAATATTTTATATTTCATTTCAATGTTCTTTTATATAATTATATATAATTATCTAAATTGTCTTTTTTGATAAAATATATTTTTATTTTTTTATATTTTATAAAACTTATATTGTAGGCATTAATTTTTTTTCTTTTTCTGTTTTCATTTTTAAAAAAAATTTTTATATATTATTAATTTTATTAATAATATAATTAATTAATGTTAATAGTTATAGATTGTATTAATAATAATATTTTATTATGCTTTTTCATCATTATTAATATTGCGATTTTCTTTTAAGAAATTCGTGACCAAGAAATCATTAAATCAGAATTTTATCTTCGATTAAAAGGCAAGAT